ATTACGTATTTTTAATATTATTTTGGATTATATTTAAATCAAACAAATGATTTTCTAAATTATCCGTATCTTTTAAACCGTAACTTCGATTTTAACATATTATATATGAAATTTTATTAGAAAAATGTGTGGAATCTAAATATGATGTTGATTTTACCTGTTAAATATTTTTAAAATATTATTTTGAAAGCAAACTTATAATTTCTAGCGCAAGATCCGTTTTTCTTTCGTACCGGCGGCGATCCGGATTGCAAATAAACACCCCACTATAACCATATAGGCAAAATAAAACATCAATAACTACACATGCATACCTCTGAAAAATGTCGCAGGGAAAAATAACAGATTTCTCATCGCGAGAATGAGAGAAAGCGAGAGAGAGAGAGAGAGGGGGGGAGGGAGGAGAGAGAGGGAGAGGGAGACGCCTTAGGACTAACCATATTCAAACACGTTTTTTTGTTGTTTTGTGTGAATACCGAGGCCATCACCAGTGAGGGTGAGAAGGAGGATAAGCGGCAACACAAATATGATGCCTCACAAATATAAAGAAGATGGACCTATTGAGTGATGGTTGTTGGGTTAAGAGTGTGTGTTATGTTTTTTCTCCCGCTACAACGCACGGGCTCTTTTGCTAGTCAAATAAAAAAATGAAAATAATAATGGTACGTGTGGGTTTCAAACAAAAGATCTACTGCTAGTTGGCTAGCGTGAACACCACCGGGCCAAGATGATTCTCTTTAAGATAGCGACACAATTCTTTATGTAATACTCCCTCTATTTCTAAATGTAAGTTTTTGTAGAGATTCCATTATAAACCGCATAAGGATGTATATAGATGCATTTTAAGTTTATGTTCATTTATTTTGCTCCGTATGTAGTTTATCTATTGGAATCTTTACAAAGATTTATATTTAGGAACGAAGGGAGTATATATAACAATTCAGTATAAACACGGACCAAAAAATTTAAAGACGAAATGACATAACATTTAAGGAAATGTTTAAACATTCTAAAAAAACATGATGTCATAAAGGGAAAGGATAAATAAAAGTCTATGTTGTTATTTATCTTGTTCTACGTAAGAAAACTACGCGGGGTATAGGAAGTCGCCACGACATATGCATATCATCAGAGAGAGTGGGGTGATTCTGACTGAGCAGTCAAATTTTGTAGCGCGAGGAGACCAGCAAACTAACGTTCCCTCAACATAATTTCCGTATAGTACATCGGAAAATATTTTATACACATGCCTATTTTCTTCACACACATTGCTCATTTTTTGTACATATCAGAAATACTTTTATACATGTTTAACCTTTTTTAAATACATGATTAGCATTTTTAAAATATATATTTCTATGTGTATTTTTTCATACGCATTCACCATTTGTTCGTATTTAACATATGATTAACATTCTTTTTTCAAACACAAGTATTTGAAACTTTTCGCAAATACCTCTTAAACATTTGTGGGATTGTATGAAACATTTTTTAACATTATTTTCAAATGTGTGAACATTATTCAAATGCAATGCGCAAACACACACGCACGCACGCGCACACGCACGCACACGCACGCGCACGCCCACGCACACGCACGCGCACATGCACGCACAAAAATAATTATTCTTCACCCCCCTCTATTTTAACGTCAATGCACTGTAATTTTACGTTCCATAATTTTTGTCTTATTTCAGATGTAAAAAGAGATTGTGAGAGAATATATAACCGCCATAAAAATTATGTTACATAAAATTACAAATGTAAAAACATAGTGTAAAATATACATAAAATGCTATTTTTCTTGCCTTATGACCTATATTTTTGTTTTCTTATGCCAAATTTTACTAGTGAATCACTATGAATGTAACTATTTGTATTCCAAATGTAATTTATTTATGAAACGATTGTAAGATTATCACGGGTGAAGAATAACTTATTCTGCACCCTGAGTGATGAATACTAAAATATAAGTGTAACCGAAAAACGACAAATGGGTCGGGCCGACGCGGAGGACGGGTGTGCGCCGTGGTCAACACTGCCGCTCCCTGGCCCACTAGTCAGGCGAATCCCAGTTGACATTTGCCATGTCAGCATTTTTATGCCTGAAGCGATGTCAGGGTTAGATTTAGACCCAGATTGCATAGTTCAATGTGCAATCGACAGGGATTTCAACGTGGGGGGTCGTTCCGCCCAACCCCAACCCCTACAAGTTCAAGGTTTAAAACGGATCATTTCGCGGAAAATTCGAATCTGAACCCGAGCTCATCTGCACCTGCGCTCACGAAAAAAATCAAAATAAATACTAAAAAAATTCAAAAAATTCCAAAACAAATTGGGGTCATGGACAATTTGATGCGTGAGGTACGCTCCAATTTTCAAAACATTTGAACTTCTGCGCAACTCTCAGCAAAAAAGACAAATCGGAGGTCTGTAAAAATGTGTACTGTTCATATACTGTTCTGGTCTGATTTGTCTTTTTTGCTGAGAGCTGCACAGAAGTCCAAATGTTTTGAAAATTGAAGTGTACCTCACGCATCAAATTGTCTACCACCCAATTTTTTTTTTGGAACTTTTTGAATTTTTCTGAATTTTTTATGAATTTTTTTTGACCGGGTGCAGATGCACCCGGGCACCGAAACGCCGCTCTCTTCATTTCGCCCCCTAAAATCCATCCTTCCTACACAAAAATGCAGGCCGGCCCAGTGTTCCCCACGTTACTGTTGCTCTACGACGCCGCGGCGGCACACGTTCGGCAACGAGCAGGCTTTCAGGCCTCGGATGCAGCAGGGTGTGGAGTGTGGACCGCCGAAGAGCAACGCGCGGGCAGAGGGAGCCCGTGCACCCCGAAAGCCACGGAGCTGCACGAAGCACGATCAAATCAAACAGGACGTCCCCCCTGCCCCGGTACACGTACGCGATACTTTTTCTGGCTACACACATATGGCCGGTCGCCATGTCGACCGTCTCCGGCACGACCGATGCCCCCTTTGCAAGGACGACCCGGGGCGGCCGGGCGTACGGCTCTAGGACAATCAAGCCCGGCCGCGGCGGCGTGGCGTACCATGGTCCAACCACGGCCGCACGCATGTGCGGGCTCGCCCGGGGAAGCTTCGCTCAACATGGGCATGTGCGCCCGCGTGGCAGTTCGGTTCGTTAGTTAGCTCCGCCGTGCCGATCGTGACGATCTCCGGAAGATCTCCACCGAGGCATGGCTTGATCGCCACGAATCGGCCTGGCCGCCGTACGCACCCGATGGACGAGCGCACGGCGCCATGCATATCTATCTAATCTAAAAGAGTGAAAAAAGACCCGAGTTTATTCCAGATCTAGTGAAAGCTAGCACGCACCAAACCCCTTGACTAACCAACCGGTCCTTCACATATCTCTTCAGGCTGAAACTTTCTTCCTTGCTAGTGCTCCTACTCTCTAGTTTCAGGCTTGAGACGGAACGAGCACGGAACTAGGGTTTGAGCGGATCCGCAGTCACTTCGCCGTCTCACCCGGCCCAGCTCTCGCACGCACGTCGCCGTCGCCGGTCGCCGCATGCATCCATCAGTCCGTCACCACTCCCAAAAGGCCAAAAGCTTTACACGACAAGGCGAGCGCGCGCCCTGACGCTGACCATTCCGGCCAGATTCAGATGTGGCTTGTGACCACTGACAACGACGACATGTGTCGTCCACAGGTTCACCTACAGCCCTATCCACAGCCAAATGAGCTGCTAGTAGCTCAAGAATGTTGTCATCTCTTCCTTTCAAGGTTTTCCCCCCTTCTTTTCCCGTTCAGTCCCACGCAGGGGGGTCTTGTCCAAAAGCCCAGTTGTGCCCCATTGACTGCTCTTTTGTCTCACGACCAAGTGTTCCTTTCTCTCTCTCTGACCCCAGAAAAATGGCCAGATTCTGCAGTTAGTTGCCTGCAGTGCACATTTCATCCATATAAGCTGCACAGCAACCGAATTGTGCGCAGCCCCCCTGAGCTGCAGTCCAGTCCAGTGAGTTTAGCCTGCGATCCACCTGACGGAATCCGATACAGTTAATTAACTAACCAGGGAGGATCCTCCCCCTTGTCCCCGGACGATCATCGATCCGTGCTGGCTGTCACACGCATGTGCCACAGCCACACACAAATTCCTAGTAATCCGTTATTTAGGAGGAGCATATTCGATCTTGTTGCTGGCTGCTGCCACAGCTCCAGCTCGATCAAGTGGGCAACAGGGCATTCAGCAATCCCCCTGCCTGCAAGGTGTTTGGCGCAACACTCACTATCCCCCAGAGGCCAGAAATCCGGCGCCACACATCCCCACATGCCCCTCCATGTGCCAATGCCATGATCTCCAGCATGTTGCCCACATGCCCCTGCTCGCCGTTGCCGCGACCGCCCCGAGCCCCCAAGATAGTAACCCCGAGCTCACTGCACACTACTTACCTGAGGAGCCATCAGCCATGGCCTCTCATCTCGTCAATGCTCATGGTGAAAGTTGGCAGCATAGTAGAGCACTCCGTAGTAGAAAAATGAAGAAAAAAAATAGTATACTCCTAGGATCGGAGCATAGTGTAATGGCCCGCGGAGGAATCAAGGCTAGATCGGTCCCCGGGCCGGACCGGGCCTGCGAGATGGCGCACGCACTTACTCGCTCCAAGCAAGCGATGGCAAGCGGAGGAAGAAGGTTCCTGGTTTAAAACGCCACCCCCCATGCCCATGGGGGGCAAGGCAAGGCAACCCCCCAACTCACTTTCGTGCACAGCTCACTTTCCAGCGCGGTTCGGCTCGCTCGCCAGCCAGCCTACGGTCTCCTGCCCGACTGCCTCCCTCCCTCCCCCCCTCGCCAAACCGAGCTCCGTCATCATGCCGGCTCCGCTGTTGCATGGATCCATGGCGCTCCCCCACCCCCGCGCCGCCGCCTATGTATAGTAGCCTTCCTTGCTAGCCCATCATCGATCCACTCATCCATCCTCTCGTGTCTCTCAGTTCGTCGTAGATAGTGAGGGGCAGACAGGATGCAGGTCCTGTTCTCGGTGCCCTCCTGCTTCTCGTCCGGCGAGAAGCAGCTGCCGGACGCGCCGGCGTCCGCGGCGCCGGCGACCAGGTCGGGGCAGAGCGCGGTGACGCTGGTGTACCGCGCGGTGATCTCCGGGCAGAGCCGGCTGGTCACCGTGACGTGGTGTAGGAACCTGCTCGCCCACGGCATGCAGGTGTCCATCGAGGGGTCGGCCGGCGGCGGCAAGGACAAGAGCGGCGGCGGCGGGGGCAGGGAGCACGCCAGCGGCGGCGGCATCGAGGGCGGCGGCGCCAAGAGCTGCAGCGCGTGCAAGGTGGAGATGCAGCCATGGCACTTCTGGCGCAAGTACGGGGCCAAGCAGTTCCAGGTGGACGGCCGGCCGGTCGACGTGGTGTGGGACCTGCGGGCCGCGCGGTTCTCCGACGAGCCGGAGCCGGTGTCGGACTACTACGTGGCGGTCGTGTCCGGCGAGGAGGTGGTGCTGCTGCTCGGCAACCAGAACAAGGAGGCGTTCCGGCGGACGGGGGCCCGGCCCTCGCTGTCGCTGGGGGACGCGGCCATGGTGTGCAAGAAGGAGCACGTGTTCAGCAAGAAGCGGTTCCTGACCCGGGCGAGGTTCCACGAGAAGGGCAAGCTGCACGACATCAGCATCGAGTGCAGCAGCGGCAACCTCGGCGGCGGCACGGACGTGGACATGGCCATCAAGATCGACGGCTGCGTCAACGTGCTCGTCAAGCACCTCCAGTGGAAGTTCAGGGGCAACGACTGCATCTCCATCAACAAGATGAAGGTGCAGGTCTACTGGGACGCCCACGACTGGCTCTTCGGCACCGGCATGCGCCAGGCCCTCTTCATCTTCAAGCCCCAGGCCCCCTCGCCGTCACCCGACTTCGACGCCGCCATCGCCGCTGACGAGTTCTCCGATTTCTGCCTCTTCCTCTACGCATGGAAGATCGAATGAGCTCGCTCGCTCGCTAGCTAGCTAGATGTTCTTACCTACATTCGTTTGTTACTACCGCCACATTACAGAGCGGATGATGATGGACATTTCACCATGTTGTGAGCAACATACTACTACCATGTAATGTAACGATGTGCGAGTGTAAGAGGGGAGTGAATGTCTGTCTGATTGAGGTTGAGGCCATGCCATTCTCTTCTGTTCCATTGGAGCGTGTTGTGCATGCACATGGAGGATTGGAGCGGAGGGGCACAGGATAGTCCTGGGGGCGAGGAACAGCCTGGTCCTGATGGGGAAACATGCATGGAGGGTGGCGACATGACAGGCAGAAGGGCATATGGCCTTTCCCAATCAATCATGCTGGTTTATCCGGGGGAACTCCAGCTAAGAGAACTGGTCCCTCCTAACTCCTATCTAGCAGTACTCTACTCTACACTGCCTCTGATTTCTTTGTTATCATCTTCCACTCACTTACTTTGACCGGCCTAACTAACAAACTAACATCCCTCTGCTTTCCTCCGTTCAAGAACAAGGAGAGCAGGTATGGACAAGGACACAAGATACTACTAGTGCAATAGCTGTAATTAACTCAGCTGCACTATTGTTAATGGCGACTGGTCAAAGAGTGCACTGTTTTTCACCCAGGTTTTCAGCAATGGTCACATTTGGACCATGCGTAATCCCCATGCCCAAGTTGAGATCTCAGGGATGTCCACTGGGCCAGTTTTAATAGTGCCTAACAGATGCAGATGAAAGGCTACTACTGTGTTTCATACAGACTAGAACAATGATAATTCAAAATGGTGCCCAGGTTCAAGAAAAAAGAAAGTACAGTAGCTCCTTGGAGAACAGGTCAATCATGTAGTAGTACATACCTACCATCAGCTGAGAAGTTGACAAAGTTTTATCCATTCCAATGCTCATGCCTTCACCATTGATTGACATGCATTGTTTAAACCAGGAATGCTATAGAATCTAGACGAAGAGAATTTGTATGCGTCTTTGTTATGTTATTATACTAGTATACTTGCAATCAACAGCATCCTACGCTCTCCTCATGATTCTAGCATAAAATAGAATAAAATGGGGACTGCTTCGTTAGCAGATAGTCAAATATGCGAACATGGAAAAGTAAACTTGCTGACCAAACAGCCGATATGACGAATGGTTACAAAATGTTTCATACGGTGCTCTTTCCGCACGAACTTAATATGAGGAGAAAGGTTCTCGAGCCTCATACTTCCTAGATAGACAACGCATGATACTTATCGAATTTTGCGATATATCAGTTGACCAAAAAAATCAAACTAACAAAAATATATTATTTGGGCCAAAACCAAACCATTTTGCCAGCGATAATTTGTTTTTCCAATGAGGAGCTTCACCTGAAGGCTTTCCACTAGTTCTGCGTGCTGGTCACTAGTTAGCTGTGATGGAAACAAAAACAATCAAATTAGAGCTATATGGCGTAAGATAAATAGATTGCATTGGCATATGAAGTGATTTGTAGCTTTGCTTACTAGTAAATAAGTTTATTTTCGACCAAAGCCAAAAAACTTGGCCAAGGAAAATTTGTTTTTCCCCTGAGGAGCTTCTTCTGAAGGCTTTCCGCGCGCTGGTTTCTGGTTAGCTGTGATGGAAACAAAAACAACCACATCAGAGCTACACCACACTAAGAAGGTACTCCCTCCGTCCGAAAATACTTGTCATCAAAATGGACAAAAAATGATGTATCTAGAACTAAAATACATCTAGATACATCCCCTTTTATTCATTTTGATGACAAGTATTTCCGGACGGAGGGAGTAACTGCATTGGCATATATATATATATATGAGCACAGCGGATTTTGATGCTTCGCCAATTAGCCGCTAGCACAGTAAGTGTAGAAAGAGCAGTCAAAGTGTAAACTGGGCATAAGTTCAATAATGCAAATATAATATTCAAAACAAGTGTTTGATTGTTTCAAGCAATGATAGCTAGGACTTCTTCCTCTCAAAATCAAGGTAAAACCAGACAAAATTGGCGCTCTTGCAGGTGTTGGATTTTATGGGGAGTCTGCCTTTCAAACATAATGGAGGCATTAGAAACATTACCTGAATTGGACTTTTTAGCATCTTGGGATGCCCCTGAAACTGAATTCTTTTGCTCTGGAGGACTGTCCCCAGCACCTAGTTAATTTGAACAACAGGATAAAATTGTGTCAGACCATTTCAGGAAAAATGCATGAGTAAAAATAACCATCATTTAGAACCGGAAGAGCTATTGCTGAAGTTTCATCTGAGTCACAGTTGCTGCAAGAGGCGAAATGTTTAATAACTGAAGTTGCTAACAATGAGCAAAATCGACTCTAATGGCATCGGCAGTAAAACATCAATGATGTTTTAGTTGTAGTAAGAATAGGCAGGTTGCAAATTTATCTTAGACACGGATAAGTACAGTACTTGAAGCAAAGAACTTTCAAAAAAGTAGTTGAGGAACCATGTGAAGATATTATGGAGAAAACTCACCATCTGTGGATGACTTTCTGTAGGTGTTCTTCAAGAACTCGACGAAAGAATGCTCATTGTGATCAAGCATCACTGGTCCAAAACAAGGTCAAAGTTTCCAATAGTTATTACTAACATGATTTTGCAACTTTTCTTTATAGCTTCTTTGCAAATCAACGTCAGACAAAGATGAGTAGATTACATTGTTGAAACAATTCATGCCGTTTATGCTCAGAGGTACCGATCAAGAGCGATCGCACTGCCTCTGTATCTTTCTCTGAGCACATCTTGGAAAGGTTGTTTGTATCTAACAGGATACCTGCAAGCTGAGGGCAAACCCACAGAACATAATCAGGAATGCCAGTATAAATTTAAGCACAATGGTCGCTAGAGCAGGTTAAAAATACACCACCAACCAGAAGTTTCTTTATGTCCAGGCTCTGAAGTAGGGCATAAGCTTCTTCAGAATGGTCATTGGCGAGGAGTGTGCAAACTGAGCCCGCCTAGGAGACAAAAACAAGCATGATTATGAAGTAAATGATGGAACCATATGAATTCTTCATCAGACAAACCAAAAGTACTTAGCACAAGTACACGATATTACCTCACCGTTTGATCTCAAAACATCTTGGCCCACCACCAGCAAGCTGGCCCGCTGATCCATTATTAATCCCTCCATATCAACCTATAATTTGGTTCAGCCTCCCAAAGTCAGCATCATACACAAATCTGCTTTACCCAGGATGTATGTGCAGGAACAAGCCGTTTATAACAAATAATTAGCCGCCACCGCAGCGCATTGCTATCCTCGACATCTTGTGCAGATAAATAAATGTGCCATATACTCATGACGTCCCTCATTTGTTGCTGTGCATATTAACTTGGGCAACACATGAGGTACAGGCTAGCACCCAAACTCGCAATTGCACGAAGCATATATCGGTCATCGCCATTCACTGGAATGGAATGGCGGCCACATGGCACCAATCGGAATTAAGAACACCCACATGGCACTGCGATGAATTGCTGTATAGCCTCATCATCCTTGTCGCCTCTGCCCAAATTATAAACGCCCAATAACTCTGGAACGGGACCTAGACAGTTGTCTGTCGGAGAAGAATCCCATGCTGGCCATCTAAGTACAATCAGGCACCATGGTTGCAAAGCGTGGCCTACCTCGTCGGCGAAGAGCAGGGCCGAGGCGTCCACCCCGACGTGGTAGAGGAGCCAGGCCGCCTGCCTGCACCCCGTCATCCTGCTCCGGCGCATGTTCACCACCGGCACCGCCGCCGCCTGGCCGTCCCCCTTGCTCGACTGCATCCACGCGTAGCATATCGCCGCCACGATCGAGCTCACACCTGCTCCAAATCAACACGACAAATCGCAAGTGAGCGAGCAATACATGGTGGTTAGATTCAAATCAGATAAAACCGGAAGACGAATTAATCTTACTTTTCGAGGCGTCGGAGAGCACGAGCTTCGTGGACCTCGAGCGGGAGGAGCGGTCCCCGGAGGACAGGTCGGCGAGGGCGGCGCGCTGGCGGCGGAGGAAGGCGTTGAGGCGGGCGACGCCGTCGTCGAAGCCGTCGGCGGCGGGGGAGCCAGAGGCGGACGCGTGACGGCGGTGGTGCAGGGGGCGCGGGGGCGCGGAGGCGGTGGGTGGAGAGTTGGACGCCGAGGAGGTGGTGCGGCGGAGCGAGGCGGAGGGGTCCGGGCCGGAGGGGCCGTGGAAGCGGGACTTGCGGCGGGAGGAGTGCGGGTTCGGCGGCAGGGACGGGGAAGGGGACGGCGGCGCCGACGGGGTGGAGGTGTCGGAGCGCGGAGGCGAGGAGATGATGGACGCCCGCTGCAGGATCTCGTCGCCGATGCCGCCCGGCTGCCGGTGCCTGCACGCACACGCCGGGAGGAACAGCGTTCAGCGGCGCCCAGTGGGTGGCGAAGTTTTCCGGCGTGGTTTGAAACCGGGCCACTCATTCATCATAATATGCTTTCGGCCTAGTTAGGCCCATTGAAGCCGAAATACGAAATATGCGAATTCTTTTGTGCAAAAAGTGAGCTGACGATAGCGTTATAAAAACCTCTCAAAATTATAGTTACAAAAAATATTAATTATCATGAAAATAAAAATATTAAATGTGACATTTATAGGACATATTAATATTTTTAAATGTCAAAAAATTATGTCCCTGGCCAATTTTATAGAAAATTTCACAATATATACAATACGAAATAAATGAAATATGATTGATCTAACAGACTTTGTTGGTATAATGGATGCCGGTATTATTTCTACAAACTTAATCAAAGATAGAAATGTTTGACTTTAAAAAATTAATACACTTCATAAAAAAATGGAGAGAGCATTTTCTCGCATAGTACTAGATAGTAGAAAATAAACCAAAAATGCCAAATGGAGGCCAAATTTAAAAACTTCCAAATTCAAACGTTTTAGTTTCAAAATGTTTTGAAAACAAATACATGTACCTGTGTGTAAATTTTCAGGTCGAAATATGT